CTCCAGCCCCGCAAAGTGGAAGGCAGAAGGTAGGGGAAGGGGAAGGGCTGGGAGAGGAAGGGGCTTGTGCGGGGGGGGGGGGGGGGGAGAGGGAGGCAGCAGGGGCCCAGAAATGACCTGTGAAAAATCCCTCATCTGGGATCAGTCGGGTCCCAATGGTACCGGACAAGGGAGGTCCAACCTGTAGTAACTACTAATGTGGTCCTGCTTTAAGTACATATTCTGGTAGACAGCATAGCAAGGAAACGCAGCATTGGCAGTTACAGACAGCACGATTAATGTAAGCAGGGTACTGCTTTCCCCAAACCACAAAGAGAATGGAAACGACCCACCTCAGTTTAACCCCTGGGTTATAGCCAAACTATGGTCACTTTAACCTCAACTCCTCCCTACAGAACCCCACCGGATCAGTTCATCCTAACAGTGAGCCAATTTCAGGCCATGAAAACAGCATGGTTAGACTAAACATTCATTCATACCTCTCTGGATACAGCCCTCTTTGGTTCAACAACTCTGCCATCAACTTTGTGTGGTCTAGCATTCATGGCGGCATCAACCTCTTCAACCGTAGAGTACGTAACAAACCCAAAGCCCCTGGAGCGCTTGGTATTTGGATCTCTCATTACCTAGAAAGGACACATCTCCATTAGTAACCACAGTAAATAACACGAATCAAACAGGTGGCATAAAGACGAGAACAAAGGAACATCTAAAGTTGTTATTTAGCACTAGCTTTGCCCTACAACTTTCCCTCTGCCCAAAGCTGGAACCTCATGGATCATTTGGTAATTTCCCTGTTCTGCTCATTCCCTCTAAAACTGCATTTGATACCAGCCACCCTTGGAAGACAGAGGCTACTGGACAGCATGGCCATTCCTCTGCAGGATTCCGTCTAACCCTAAATTTGCACTTAGACCCCTTACTCCCCTGGAACAGTAGTTTACAGATGTCAGTAAAAACAAATTATTCAGCTCTTCCCATGGCATCAAAAAAAAAAAAAAAAGGGCAGCCGGGCCATGCAATCAGAGTCCTTCCCCCACATCTGAATGTTATTATCTAACACCCAGAGGACGCTCTGGGCCAGGCGCTCACCACGCAGTCTGTCAGCGTGCCCCATTGCTCGAAGTGGCCCCGCAGGCTCTCGTCTGTGGTCTCAAAGCTCAGGCCGCCGATGAAGAGCTTGCGCAGCTGCTCAGGTTCCTTGGGGGACTGGGGAAGAGGCACAAAAACGAGTCAGGAAGGAGCAGCCAGCAGGGCCCGTCCCCTGCTCCCCCCTCCCCAGAGCAAGAGATTTCACAA